AGAGAGAGAGAGAGAAATTAAGTTAAATATGAAAAGAAATGAAGAAAAGATGTTATTCATAAGATGTTAAGTCAAAGAATATAGTACAAAAACGCGAATAAAGAAAAGCGGACGTGGTAAAGTAACGCAAAGTAAAGTAAGGTAACTCATGGCTATAATCAAAGGTACAGTAAAATGGTGCAAGTGGGATGGAAGAAAATATAAAGAGGGGACTGACTACATGGAGTCAACGTTCCGAGCGGGTCAGCGACCAGCTCTGTCTTCTTCTCTCTCGACTTCTTCGTATCCTTTCCTCTATCATGATACTCTTCCTTCATAGCTGTTTTTCCATATTAGAAATTTCATTTTATACTTTATTTCATCGATCGAAAGAATTTTAAACGTGTTATCGGAATGTACATATGTTTAATAAATTTCTCCGATTTCGAATAGCATTATAATTTAATATAAGAAACAATTCATTGCGGAAGAAGTATTGTGATTTGTGATGGTTTGAAAGTTACGTATTGCTATGTGTACGAAAGGTATGGATATAATCCTTGTCAGAGAGAAAGTTCTGTACAACGGTGAATCCACTCCCCTTCCTTCTCTATCGTAAAAGAGCATCCAAAATGAATTGTTCATCACAAAATATAAGAAACCTAATACATTGAAATATTTTTAAATAGTGCAAAAAAGACCGATGATTAAAAATATATCAAATTTTATTTTAAATATTTTTTTCTCGTTATAGACTAACGATTATTATTCTTTTTGTTGTATAATTTCATAAAACGACAAATATATAAAATTATTCCTAACTAAATGAAATGTATATACATTGAAATTATAAACATCAGATTAAATTATACCATAATTTTCGCATAATATATTTTACTTCTATCAATTTATTTAAAAAAAATTTTCATGTAATTTTTGTATTTCCAAAATATTTCCATAAATTATAAAAACATTAATTGCTGATATTACTAATTAATAATTCTAAATTTATGTAGATATAATTAAGATCGGATTTGGGATTCAAAAGAAATAAGTATTTGATAGATGTTCCTAACTTAAAAGTTTCCTTTTATATCTTTTATTTTATTTTATTTTTTTTTGCTTTTTTTTTAAAGAATGAATATTAAATAAATAATAATTTTTTATATTATTAAGAAAATTATCAATTTCGATTATTAATTATATGACAAACTTAATCTCGATTATTAATATTTATCATAATTATATTTTATATTTTTTTTCTATATTTTCTATAAATATTTATGATATAAAATATCAATTGTTTTTTATTATTTTTTATTGATTATAATTAATAATTTTTGTAATAACGATTTCGATCATGTATAAATTGTTTATTTTTCTTGATTCTTCCTATTTCAGATAAAAAAAGAATTCGTTAAAAGTCTTAAAACATCAAATGAATGTACAAAACACTTAAAATTTGCATTTATTTTATAATAGCATAGTAGTATAGAGAATCGATATTAGATATAGACACGAAAAGTTCAGAGTCCGATATCATAAACCGGCTTTCCTTCCATCATCAACGCAGACTTTGCTCCTCAAGTGTAGACTTTAGTCTTGCGCAATTCTTGTCATCTATTCAGTTTTCTATATCTGTTCGATTTGCAAAAATTTCATCTTCATTATTTATCACATATTCATTTCATTTGATAGTCATATTTTAAATAAATAAATTAAATTTCTCATCAAATATATATATATATATCTTTCTTTTATCTCACGTACAAGTTCTCAAATTTTATCCAGAAATATAAATAATTCGAAGGTAATGCTGATAAATATTTATGTTGTAAAAAAACAGTTTTAACTCATTATAAATGAACATTGAAATAATAATCGGGATTTGGTTATTGTTTTATAACGCAAAGATTAATAAAAATCTATGTGAATAAATATATATCTATTTTGTAATTTCAATATGGTTAATTTGTTCGCAAAGAAAAGCAAATAACTTATATGTATATAAATATATATAATAAAAATACGAAATTAACATTCTTGTATTTATTTTTGATCTTGGTCCATCATAAACTAACCGACAATGCACTTGTCTTCCTCTTGCTGTCGTTACGCGCTGTCGAGCCCGACCAATCACAGCTAGCGGGCAACAGGTGACCGACCAATCCGGTCTCCTTGCCACGACATCGTTCTTACGTAGTGCTAAGCATTTCGTTTCTACGGATATTCCTATCAAATCCAACGATGATTGCTTTCCCGTTTTCTGCTTCTCTGTCTATAAGTACTTATATAGTTCTTCTTATTCTCTCATTTCCCCACCCCATACAGAGATCGTGCCAACTTGTTGCTTGTTAGCTTTCCTTCATTCTCCTTCGATTCAATGTAAACTATAGATATAATATTACTATTTATATATATATACGAATTTATATACGAATTTTATAATAGATATAACAAATAAATAGTTTAAAATTTTAATTTTGCGAAATTTGATATTGAGATTTTTAATTTTTCTATGTAAATAATCAACATGTTTGAAAGAAAATTTCTTAAATGACTTATTATTTTTGAGTTCTCATGTCTAATGAATAAGAATGTATGGACATATATTTTGTTAAAAAGATTTAAGATTAATGGCTTACAATATTATTAAATAGAGAGCAAAAAAATATTAATAATTGATATGTCTTCCATTTTTATAGATAAATAAATCTAATTTAAATCGAACTAAAAAAAGAAAATTAATTTGATTATTATGTAAACAAATTGTATTGAATATTCAATTTATTTTCAGAATATTAAATTATATGCACTTTGTATTTGTATTTGTATTTGTAAAAATCCAGTGTTTTGATGAAAGAGAGAAAGAGAATCTCGACAAATGAAGCAAGATATACATACATGCACGTTATCAAGGCCGTGATCATGTTATGGAGGGAGCACCTCGAATCGAGGGCATAATCGACAATATACGTACCTGTGATCATTTATAGAGGTTCCTTATAACTCAGAAGTGCGCCAGGTAGCCGCCATTTTTGTTCTTTCGATCACCATCCTTATACCTCTTCGAATCTGCCAACCATATATATTTCTGATCAAAAGGGACGAACATTCTACACTTCGAATGTTTACCTTCTTCGTGGAGAATTCATTCATACACACAATACTATCGTTTTGGATCGGTTCGATGTATCGAATATATCGTTCGATCCGCCATGAAGAAATAAACGTGGAGCTCCAGGTAGAAAATAATCGCGGCCGGGGAAAGAGGGGTGAGCGTACCGCAAGGCGAGTGGAATGTCTGCGCACCTGGCCAGTGCGTCGCTGCTTTGACCTGCCTTTCCCTTCGCCTCTTTAACCTGCACTGTTCCGTTTTCGTCATGGCAACGTGTAGCGATATTCGAATCTAGTATTCTGAAACCAATTTCACAAATCATTGTAAAGAGAATATCCATCAAAGAAGTTTCTCGAATTTAAACATTCAATGTCCGTTATCATCGTGTGAAGTTTCCGCGTTTTTTCAACGTGACTTGTTCGATCCTTGTCTTGTACGTTCGTTCCGTCGATGTTAACTATCCTTGTTGCACGAATATGTACTGAGTTCACCGTGCGGGAAACGAAGCGCACGGGAATGAGCAAGAGGGTCTCTCTAGCCAACGAACGACGGGTTCGATGCGCAGTCGCCAGGTGAGGCAACGACGACGTGTGCGCGCAACGGTTGGGGTTCGCCAGTGTTGCACGAAACCTTGCCACTCGCGACGCGGCGAGTTCGTCGACGGTGAAAGAATCGCGGAAACAAATTTTTATTCACGTTTATTGGGGGGCCGAATTAGTCAAGTTATTATTACGCGATATCTGCGCAAACGTGGCGCGTCGCATATCGCGATATCATCTATCGGCTCGCGAACACGGTTGTCGATTCTTAACCTCAAACAATAAATAAAATAACGATGTCATCGAAAAAGGATACCAAGGATCTGTGAACGTGTTTAACTTTAGTGAAACGTGTAAAGGTTTTATCAGATTGGAAAAGAGCATAACAAGAGGCCTGGAGTTAGTTTTTCAGCCTCGTCCAGGACACGGTTACGTGTCGTACGATCCGTGTCCGTACGGTGTGCTACTTTGATAATAGGGTTCAGGTGTACATTGACCCAGAAGTGAGTAGTGTCCGAGAACGGAACGGATCGCGACGGAAACGAAAGATAAACCCTGGCACGATGCAGACTATGGGCGCTACGAGGGGACCGACTCACCTGGTTGCCCTTTACGTGGCGACGGCCGGTCTCCAGGGTAATGCTCTCGGTTCTGATGAAGAAGAAATCACTCTATTGGTTTATGTGCTTATCGACGTACTACAGAATAAGGTATGTTTTTACAATATATAGAATGATTATTGAAAAAGAAAAAAAAAAAAGATAGGAATGAAAAGAGAAAAGTTGAATTAATTCAAGAATATAAAATAGTATTAAATGATTCACCGATTTGTGTCATTCATTTTCTGCATGCGGTTTTTATGAGCAATATATAATAATTACAATTCTTTGTATGATTTATGACATTCATACAATATAATTCACATATGTTATATTAACTAATTGAAAATCTTGGTTTAAAAAATCGTTCAAATTTTTCGAGGGACTTGAAATATAATTGATAGTTTTCCTTCGCGTTTCTATTTTCGATTCAAAGATAATTATCAATGAACGATTCCAAACAATTAATTAATTATTTCATCGAAGCTAATGACCAAAAATTATCGATACATCATTTAATTTCCACAAAAGTTTCTTTACCGCTGTCAATCTTCGTGTTTGCACTGAAATCGTGCCGCCGTGCCTCTGCATGTCTCCGGCTGCCATTGTTTCTCGAATTATCCGGTGGGGGCGGAGCGTCGCGCCCTCGAAAGGTCGTCCATTACCTCCAGCTTTGCCATCGAGATTATCTGGCGCCATGGATTCCGTTTCTTATTAATTCTCTTATATTATGATAGCGAAACTATACTTCCTATTGAAACGTGATTTTTAATCGATGTTTGATATTAATTATTTAGATTTACAGTTTTTTAATATCATATAAAACATAAATTTTTATTATCATTAATTTTTTCCTTATGATTGTTTCAATTCAAAAGTACATAAGAATTTTCAAGTGAAAGTAGAAAATATACCAATCTTATAATTTAATATAATTATAAATAAATAAATATAATTGAAAAAATCATTTTAAATTATTTTCAAATTAATTATAGATGTTATAAAGTAATGATCAATAAAATCACCTTGTGATTAAGATGACGATATTTTTTTTTATTATTGTAGATTATAGACAAGAATATTGATTAGAATTCACAAATATGTTAAATATTATTAATATTCAATGTTTTTTTCATTAAACTTGATCGATTGAAATTGGACTTTTACCATAACGAGTTTTTATTAATATTCAAAGTTAAGTAATATTCGATTCATTTTCATTTTAATCGCATTCTTTCGTAAAATATTGAGAAACTTTCATAAATCGATCGTTGTATAGAAAAGTAAATGAAATAATTTTTCTAGAAAACATTTGAAAGAAAGTAAATTTTTTTTTATATAGTTTACATTCTGCTAATGTTTAATGAATTATTATATTTATTTCGATGAACTTTTGAGTTTCGATTCGATTGTGACAAAATAAAATTTTCTCAGCAGTGAATTTGAGGAATAAGGGAACATCTAACGCTGCAACAGGTGCATCTAGTTTTCTTTATTCTTTGTTGTGAATCGCCTTGCACGAGTGCACCCGAGTTCCAGCTGGACGATCGTTCCTTTTTCCCCTCAAGTTACATACCTGACTATCTCCAATCGAAACCAATCGAGGATAATGGCCGTCAACGGCCCTTTCGTTTTGCTAAATCTTCATGCAAATCCAACAATTGATATATCTACCTACAAGTAGTAAATATAAGTAGTATGTATAATATTTATGTATATATCTTATGTATATATAATATCTACACACTTATAAGTATTATTATTATTATTATTATTATAACTATTCGATATTACCTATCAATAAATTTCGTTGTACGAATTGTTCGTACAACGAAAAATTTTTTAATTTTAGTATCATTTAGATATCCGATGTATTTTTACATTAATATATTAAATAAAATTAATGATAATGATAATGATTAATATTAATGATATTGTCGATTAATTATCAATTCTGCGCATTCAATAATATTATCAAATGCGATACTACTAGTCGTTAAATGTATATCAGCACCTTTTATATATACATTAAAAAAAAACTTTTTTTTATAAATTGGAAAACGGTTTTGTAAATTACAACAGCGAAAAAGATTTAGCAAAATTTTATATATTTTAGAATTTGAATTATAGGAATTAAAATTAATATTTAATGTAAGTAAAAAAAAATCAATTTAATCAAAATGTTTGTATCTATACTATCTTAAATAATTTGATTTCATGTAACATTCATAAATTAAATATCAGAGAAAAATTCGTAGAATAGGAAAATCGAAAGTTTCTAGATTCTAGTAACTTCTAACATAGGATTGTGAAAATTTTGCTTTTTGACAGAAATAATAGAGATTGTAAGGTATGAGATATACAGCTTTTTAGAGATTCAAATCTATTCAAAATTAGATTGAATATTTTGATAAATATTACATATGTAAGTAAATATATTCCTGTATCTTTGAATTTTTTATCGTCAGCAAACGCCAAATTGCCTCTCGCTTTCCTTTCGTATATTATAAGCGCAATAACTTCTCTATTCTCTCTTCGGTTTATTTCGCCAAGATCCATGAAATGTTCTTCATCATGTGAAAAGAGAGGACATTGACTTAAACCAGGAAAGAAAGATTGTGCTCGTTAAGATTGAGACACGAAAACACAAGCATCGTGTGGTTTTATTTGAGCAAACAAAACCTCCAAGTTGTGTATAATTCTTGTAATTCTAAGGAATTCATCACGTTGTCCGTTTTTAAAAGCAAAAAGAGTTTTTAAAAGCAAAATATACATTTTATCATAATTTTACATACCACAAAATTAGTCATAGTATGAAACGAATTTTACTAATAAAACTTAATATAGTTATTTCTCTTTTTTTTTTTTTTTCATTAAAATGGCAATTAAAATGTTCAATATTATTTGAATGGTTAGGAAATATTCGAAAAACTTTCGTTTTAAGTATTGTCTAATTCTAATTTGATTGCAATCGTAATTCGTTTAAAGAATGCTTGCACAACTCACCTATTGTAATTCGTTTCCGGCGTTTAAAGTCGATCGTCAAGTCGAACTATAATGAGCGACGTTGATTTATAGGCTTAACCTTTGCTGTGTATTTCCTTATTCAATGTTTCAAATGGTTTCTTTTAAATAAAACATGTATCTTTATTTCACTATTATTAATTTTACATGTCATTTCTTTCTACGTCATGTAAAATCATAATACGATTTTGATTGCGTTAACTCATTTTTAATATTTATTCGATTCTGTATATTCGATTTACCAAGAACCACTTCTTTCTTTATTTTTTCTGATTTTCTGGACTTTAGATATTACGCGTACAGTCTATTATTTGCGTCCGTCCCATTCCGGTTCACCATTCTGAAACCTTTTTTCTTTTCCCTCCATAATTTCTCTCCTTCTTTGTGTTGATGTCGTCGGGTTCCAGTCTCGTAAATACCGCTAAGATATAATGTATTCTGTGGGAAAAAGATTCGAGAAGAACTCGAAGGACGTTGAAATCCTTTCCTCCACTATTGTCACTCGACGATAGAAATAATTCTCCCGATTATTCTGTATGATTGGGACTTGCATAAAAATGTGTCACTTACAATATTTAAATATTATAAGTAATGGTAAATGGAAAATAACCGTTTTGTGATAGTGACAATATTCTTTTTGTAAAAAATTTATATCTTAATATATCGTTATTATTTATTCTTTATTGATAGAAATTCTCTCTAGATCGAGAAAGAATTCGAGAATGGCATTAAAAAAAAGGATTTTTTTTTCCTCATTACTTTGATTGGATCAAAAAATTTTGATACTTTTTGGAAATTGGAATTTCTTGATTATTTTAAACTATAAATAATAACAGTAAAGTAGTCATTAATATTGTTTACAGGATATATTTCTTCTATTTGTACATACACAGAAAATTGAAGACCTTCAATGAAGGAATTTCGTGTTTCCTTTGCTTCATTGTTATCCTCAACGAGGACAAGATAGTTTCTGTGAGCAACGCAACTCGTGACTTTTGACCCCCCGCCCCTTTCCCTTCCAAGCAAATATCGTTCTTTTGCTCGTTGACCGTCTCGCATTTGCGCTCTGACTTGTTAGATTTGCAATTTATGAGTTTGCTTCGAATCATGCTTCACGCTTTACTTTGTTGCCACGACAGATATTCAGAGTTATGACACTTTAATGTGCAACTATATTGCCTATTTTCATAATACTTTAATTCGTTTTATCATAAGATTATTCAACCAAGCATGATCGTTACCTGATTGTTACTTATACAATAATATCTAATAAAAAAATCGATTAATCAATGAAAATGAAAAATAACTTAATAATAATTATATTTCTAACTTCATATTATTTGCATATCATTATCCAATACCAATTTCTGTACGGATTCGACAAGGATTAAACAAATCTGAAAGTAATCAAAAACACGAAATCTTTTAATAAAATCAAAAATGTTTGATGAAAAAAATCTTCAAAAAAATCTTCTTAATCTCTATTTCGTGTATAATTGACAACTTGTCTTGAAAGATTCGAATATTTGTAAGCCTTCTTTGAAAACAAATTCTAATCATAGAACGTTATCATTATTCCCTTAATCTCGATTTGCAGGTGTAGAATTCTGTTATCAAAGCTCTATATGCATTTGTACGTTCTACTATATAAATAACTGAAAAAATATCTATTATATAAATAAGTAAAAAAATATTTGTACATTTATATTCAATTATGCATTAAGAATATGAATATTCTTATGGATTATAAATATGTAAATGTCAAAAATTTTTTATTTATATATATGTATGTATATAGCAGTATTATTACGAAATTAAGTTGTGAAGATTATAAATTTTTGCAAGTAAAAATTGTACATATGGTGTAGATATCATTTACAAAATACGATATTATTAAATTTTTTTTAAAAAATATGATCAAAATATAATTTTTAATAAAATAGAATTACAACTTGATAAAAATTTGTGATTTTCCATATTTTCTATTTTAAATTATTAAATAAAATTTTATTACGATCTTCGAAAGATACGACTATTTTGCATTTTTTTTAACAAAAATTAATTAATTATTATCATAGAAAAATTTCAAATTTAAATAGGAAATATTTCTGCTCATCGCGATATTTCATGATATTTTTAATATTTATTCAAAATGGCGATTTTATAAAGCTGAATAATTAGTAATTAATATAATTAGCATTTACGTAATAGAATACTAGTTCATCTACGTCGTATACGAGGTTTTATCGACGAAGATAGTCCAAGACGATGGCTTATTCGTTACCAAACTACCTTGATCCGTTAACCCCACATCAAAGAACCTGCCTATTAAGTTTCTTGTACTTACTTTACTTCTTTTTTATGTCTTTCTACTGTGTCGATATGTAGCTACCATGTGACATTTACGAACATATATTTAAATACATAAAATAAAATCTAATAAATGAAACGCTATAAATTTGTGATACATTTTACAAATATTCAAAAGAAATTTGTATATGTTTAATATGTTTATTTGTATCAACTGAAAATTAAAATATATATATATATATATATATTTTTTATATATATATTATAGCAATAAGAAAATTTCAGGAAAACATTTTAAATGTTAATAATTATTTAATTTTCATATATATATATTTTCTTACTTATTCTTATTTATTTTCATATTTAAAAATATCTTATGTTGATAAATTATCTCTTATTATA